ACTTCCTGGGAAACTTGGTTATCTACTTATCATAGAAAACGGGAAATTTGAGTTTATGTAGCAGCTTAGCTTTCTTTGGATATATATAAAACACGAAAAAGAAACAATGTTTTTATTTACATGGTACAAATTTAGTTTAAATGTCTGTTTCTCCTACGTACAGTCGCCTTCTGTGATGTGGATCTGTCAACAGCTGCCTTAAGTACGACTTAACCTTGACCAGTGCAAGGCTACCAACCTGGTTGACATGTCTCGCATACCTCTTGTACTGCTCAACCAGACGAGCCTCACATAGGCCCTAGCAGACACCTCTGATGGCCTTACCTCGGTCCTGGTGACCTCACACAGCCCCTGGTAGCCTCACTAAAGCCTCTACTAGCTCCACACAGATCCCCTGGCAGATTCCACGGTCTTATACAAGCCCCATTGACCTAGTAGCCTCATCCAGCCCGGCAGTGTTACAGAGCCCCCGAAGAGCATCACACAAACCTTAGGAGCAACAATCAGCCCAGAGTCACAACTAGCTGTCTATGACCCTCGCATATACCGACGTACAAACAACAGCCCCTGTTGACATCACAGTCCTTAAATACTTTATATAACCTATGAACCACACAGCCCCTGGCAGCCTCAAATACAACCTGGGGGACTCACACAGCCCCTAGCAGTGGCACCACACTGCCTCAGGATTTTTTTAACATTGTACAACAAATAGAAAATAAAAATATAATTACAAAAGTTTGTCTAGAGGAAACATCATTGGTTACAAGCAAGTTGTGAAGATGTAAGAATTATTGAGAAATACAGTAAAATCTTAAACTGGCATCTTACATAAGACAGCGCCAGGAAGAATTAAATATTTTGTTATGCAAATGATGACAATGTACAAAATCACCAAAGTTCAACAATGTTTTGACATTTTTGAACTAGTCAACACAAGCAGTCTACCTCATTGCGGATACACAGCAGTGACGTCACCATTACTACTGTACCACAATGATGGAATAGACCACTAGAGCAATGCAGTCTACCTGATTGATGGGACTGACACCTTTCACTTTACAATGGTTAACGTAAACAGAAAATGAAATTAAATACCTGTATTAGTCACAACTATGACTAATTTAAGGTGAACTAAATCATTCTTCATAAATTGCACACAAATGATAACTGTTACGAACCCCTCCACCCAGCACTACGAAGCACGCCATCTATTGTCCTGATCTACCTACCCAGCACCACGAGCAACGCCATCTAGGGACGAGACACGAGTATGACTCGTCTTAGTTACCACTCCGAGGTTTCCCTTCTCCATATCCTGGGTTGCGTCACCTCCTCAAAGTCTTCTTTGTCAGCTCCAATTCGAGGAGAGGAACTTGGCTCTGGGAAGTGACCACAGGATCATCTATCCTCTAAACCTACGTGCAGTGACTACCTACCGTCTTCTACAATACTCAGCCTTACTCGTCAGCCATCTCAGCTCCTCACTTAAGTACATGTATCTTGTATTACCTCCCCCACGTCCACTTGCTTCAAAATTGTTTATGTTGTATTAATATGTATATACTGTTAATGTTTAGGTTAAGTTTGGTTAAGGGTAATTTATAAGCTGAATATTTTGTTAAGGGATTTATGGTACTCTTATTATATACAACGAAAACTCGCATCCTTTGTCTACCCTTTTATAGTCCGATTGTCTTTGTTTTTTTTTTATTGTTGTTACCTGTTGGGATCTGGGTAGACGTATAACTATATTCTAAATCCCCAACTCGTAACATAACTGTATAACAAAATCTCAACTTTAATATAACACAAGTCTACTTGTATATTATATGGTCACTCATTAACAAGGCCTTCCTTCTGTCCTACGTACATTTCAGTGAATATCTCACTCTTATACAACACACAAGTTCTTCCCTCATTGCTACCGAGTCCACCTCTCACTCCTACACATCACAGCGAGACCTTCTCTCGCTCCTACACATCACAGAGCCGTCCTCTCATTCCTACACATCACAGTGAGACCTTCTCTCACTCCTACACATCACAGCGAGACCTTCTCTCACTCCTACACATCACAGAGCCGTCCTCTCACTCCTACACATCACAGTGAGACCTTCTCTCACCCCTACACACCACAGAGTCCTTCCCTCACTCCTAAACATTAGAGTGAGGGAAGGACCAGTAAGACATGGAAGGAAGGCTGGGAGTGGCTTTTTTGTATTTAAATAATGAGGCAATGCCGCTATTATTACCTCAGTTAAAGCTAAAAGAAATACAACAGTTAATAATTCTCTCATATTTCGTCTACGGGTGGGAATTATAATTTCATGACGTTAGAGATTTGTAAGTTTGCATTTATTTGAAATAGTGAAGGAATGTCGTTTCGCCTACCAAAAAAAGTAAAGGAATGCCATTCCCATGCATTCCTATAGCACTACACCTCTGCTTCATTAATTGGTCAGCAAGTCATTCGCTCACTCACTAATAGGTCAATAAGTCTATCTTCCTGCACATCACTGGAAGTCCTTCCTTAGCCAATCACAATATTGCTTGTTCTTCCCTCACTCTTACACTATGTCTACTGTAGTCAGTAGATAAACTTTGAATATACTGTTAAAATGTTTTAGTATTCATGTAGGTAGATATATTTAATGCAGCAATCAAACAGCGAAGTACAGTACTACTGCCTGGAAAGATATTGAAAGCACAATGTGTTGTCTAATGGTATACATTCTTGCCATATGGCATCACAAATATTTAGACCAAGTCCCGGGTTGCCGAGTCTGACTTTCTGACTCATTTACATAAAATTGCAGGGTTTTAATTGTTTCTCTTACTTTGACAATACAACATAATTATCGTTTCTTTTTCTTTTTTTCACCCCATCAGGCCCCAATGTGGGTCAGTAAGTGGGCTAATGTCTATGGGGAAAACAAATCCAGTCGTGTTGGGTAGATACACTTATTTAGGGCAGATTCATCTTTTTCTGTAGTTTTGATCATTTTTCTTGTCTATCTTAATTGTGCTGTGTCATCTGGAAACCAAGTTATGGTTCTCATCCTCTCTGTAGTGATGTTTTCTATTTCTACCTGTAAAATGAATACAGTATTTTATTAGCCAAAAATAGTTATGTTTTTTTTTGGTATATTGCAGTGGCAAGAATTAAAATCACTTTCTTCATACACTCTCATTCAATAGTCACACTACCTGGTGGACTAGACGTGCTCTGGTATAATACTTCATCACCCACAGCAAGTGTTACCTCACAAGTCAACATTGCTCACCAGATAGATGTCTTTTCCCCCAAATCACAGCCATATTATCCACTCCTTCATACACACACACATCACTGCTTGCTGGATGTTCCTTCCTTCACACTTCTAGTGCAGCCTCCACCCCACCCTTCCATCTCCTCCCTCCTACCACACACTTATCAGTCTTACACATCCCATTCTCTCAATTTGTCTATTCCATCTGACCATCTATCCAATATTCCACTGCCAATTTCATCACTCACTATATATATTGACACCTTTACTCCTTTAGCATTAAAACTGCTGTTTCCCATGATTTGTAGTGTACTGTGAGTAGAGGCAGATGCTCCCCTGCTGCTCTCTAAGAAATAATAGTGAAAAAAAATTCGTAAATATATTGCTTGTGATAGTTTCTTGAAATACTCCAAGCCACATTAAGGCCACTAATTACCCCCAATCGAAACGAGGATCATAGATTTGCAATCAGCATGCTCGGGAGTACATATACTGAGATTTTCAGCAAAATCAAATTTTTGGCAAAAAACATAAGTCTTACACCTTTGTAATTTTTTGACCAGAATAGACTTTTCTCTCGGAATTGGAATTTGAGGGCTTTAACCCATTAATTACTTCCAGAAGAACACAAAAACACCAAAATCTCAACTAGGAAACCCATAGTTGGCTAGTAATTAGCATTGAAAAAGTCCTAAAAATACTCCAAGCCTCAATAAGGCCACTAGTTACCCCCAAGGGGCTGTGGCACTGCCAGGGGTTCTCCCATGGGTGGCTGCACTCCCTGGGTCCCTCCCAGGGTCGATGGTGCTCCCAGAGGTCCTGCCAGGGGTGGTGGCTCCTCCAAGGCCCCTTCCAGGGACAGCAGCACCCCTAGGGGCCCTCCAAGGCGGTGGCGCCCGCAGGAACCCTCCTAAGGACAGCGGCCCTGCCAGGGGCGGTGGTGCCCCCAGGGCCCTGCCAGGGGCGGTGGTGCCCCCAGGGTCCCTGCCAGTCGAGGTGGCAGCCCAAGGGGCTCTATTAAGGTGCCCCAGGGGCCCTTTCAGGGGCGGCGGCGCCCCTTGGGGCCTTGCTAAGGGTGGTGGCGCCCCCAAGGCCCCTTCCAGGGCCGGTGTGCCCAGGGGCAACGACGCCCGCAGGGTCTCATCTTTGTGGCAGAAGCGATCCCAACTACCCTCCGAGAGGCGGTGGCACCACCAGGGGTCCTCTTAGGGGCAGTGGCGCCCGCAGGAACCCTCCCAGGGACCCTGCCAATAGCGGTCATGTGACCAAAGCCCTGCCAGCGGTACTGATGACGCCCGGGGCCCTGCCAGAGTTGGTGGTACCGCCAAGGGCCCTTTCAGGGAAGGTGGCGCACCTAGGGGCCCGCCCAAGGGCAGCAGCACCCTCAAATGTCCTCCCAGGGGTCCTCCGAGAGGTGGTGGCGCCCCCAGGGGCCTTACCAGGGCAACGGTGCCATCAGGAGCTTTTGCACAGGTGGCGGCGGCCCCAGGGGCCCTCCCAGAGGAGGTAGAGCTCCCCAGGGGCCCTTCCAGGAGCAGTCTCGCCACCAGGTGCCCTTCCAGGAGCAGCAGCGCCCCCAGGAATCCTGCCAGGCACGGTGGCATCTCCAAGGGCTCTATTAAGGGTCGGCTGCACCCCTTGGGGCCCTGCCAGGGGTGGTGGTGCCCCCAAGAGCCCACCGAGGGGTATCGGCGCCTGCAGGGTCTCATCTTAGGGGCATTGGCATCCTCAGGGGCCCTTCGAGAGGCAGTGGCACCCAACGGGGCAACGGCGCCTCCAGGGGCCGTGGCCCCCTGCAAGAATCTCCCAAGGGGTTGCAGTGTCCCCAGGGGGCCTCCCAGGAGCAGTGGCGCCCCTAGCGGACATCCTAAGGGCGGTCGTGTTCCCAGGAGACTTAACAGGTGTGGTGGCGCCCCCCAGGAACCCTCCCCGGGACAGGGGCGCCTGCAAAGGCCCTGCCAGGGGTGGTGGCGCCCCCAAGAGCCCTCCCATGGGCAGAGGCGCTCCCAGGAGCCCTCCCATGGGCAGCGGCGGCCACAGGAGCCCTCCGAAAGGTGGTGGCGCCCCCAGGAGTGGTGGCGATTCGCCAAGGGCACTTTCAGGGGCGGTGGCGTTCACTGGGGCTGTGGACCCGCCCAAGGGCAACAGCGCCCCCAAGTGCCCTCCCAGGGGCAGCAGCGCCCCCAGGGGTCTTGCCAGGGGTGGTGGTGCGCCCCCTCCAATGGGCGGTGGCACCTCCAGAGGCCCTCCCAGGGGCGTTGGCGTACCCTGGGGCACTCCCACGTCCCTGCATGTGCTATGGTGCCCCCAGTGCAGGTGTATGCAGATAGACAGTGTAGGTTTACAGTATGTAGATAGGTGCAG